AAATCACAGAAATGCTTGGATCTGCTCAAACGAGCATGCAAATGTTCACCCACATTTAACAGCTATAATACTGCAAGAACAAAATATGCTCCTGAGCATAGTCAGTCCAGGAAAGTCTCATAATCCTGTGATTTATATGTTTTATGCATGCCTGCAAATCATGGCTGCTGCACAAACAAACACAATCAATTCACTTCTAGCTGACTCTGACAGGAAATTATATCAAATTATACCATTTTTCGCATTCTTCTTTCTTAACTGTTATCTTACGTCCCTGACTACTGTAATCAGATTACAGGAAGGTTATATAAAGTGCTTTTCCCTGACCTCAGAGTCGAGTCTACATACAGAGTTCCTGCTTTAGAGAAACAAAAACAAAAGTTTGTGTCTCCCCTGGCTGGGTCCCATGGCACGGTTTGTTGTTGCTCAATGATTCTGAGAACCAGCCCAGCCACCGCCAAGCGGGTTCAACTCACATCCAACTTTTCCCGCTTCTCACTGTAACTCTAAACCTGTTTTAGAGCGTGTTAATACTATACACACACACACACACACACACACACACACACACACACACACACATCTTTCGAGGAATGTGAGAGAATGGGTTTTGTGTGTGTGTGTGTGTGTGTGTGTGTGTGCGTGTGCGTGTGCGTGCATGCATAAAACTCCAGTCACAACACATCATACAGGTCACGACTCTAGATCAATTTTCTGCTGTCAATCAATATTAAATACACATATTTGCACTGTGTAACTGTCGAACATGTGACTGTTTCCTTCATCAGAGTTGCTGATGGACAGACAGACACACACACACACACACACACACACACACACACAATCAGCACTAGGCAGACCGAGGGAACAAGGAAACACGTGTTGGGTTTTCTAAGAACTGAGTCATTCATCAGGGAGCAACAAGTAGCCAACTAGAGGGTGGGAGGAGGGGACAGGGGGAGCCAGACACACAGAATATGAAGATAAGAGAGCAGGCAAGAGAGAGACTTTGCAGGATGTTTATTTCTGTGCATACGTGCGACAGAGAGAGTTGTAGGGGTGTGACGAAGGAGGAGAAGAACTTTATTTACTCTGTAGCGTAGGGTGATCACTATGTCAGGTGTATTTACTGAGAAAGTGATGTTGTTTCGTAAAAGTAAAATGTCCTGCAAGTCAGTCATGGGTAGTGCAAAAAATGGGTTTATAAATGAGTAAGCAAAATGATCTTATTCTATATCTAATTATATTTCTTTATTTTGGCTCCTGCCTTCCTAATTTGTTTCTATCCTTTCTAAAAGTTGAACCAGTGCAACATTTTAAGAAATAGTGAAATGAGGAGATTAATGCTGTGCTGTACATTTTGTGTGGTAAATATGTAGCTGTAGCCAGCAGCTCATTAGCTTAGCTTAGCTTAAAGGCTGGAAAAAGACACAAACAGTAAGCCTGGCTCCATCTAAAGATACCAAAATCCACTTAACAGCACCTCTAAAGCTCATTAATTGTATCTCGGTTGTTAAATCTGTACAAAAAGCAAAGTCTGGGTCTTTGCTATTCGTCTTGTTCCCAGTTTTCATGCTATGCTAAGCTAAGCTAATTAGCCACCACTACATTCAGTAGTTCACATACTGAGTGTGGTATCAGCCCTCTCATGTAACTCTTGGCTCCTCAGATGATGGTTGGTCAATGAGATATTTAGTTCCCTCCCAGGTTTAACCTCATTTAAATATCTAGCGTGTAGGATTTAGGGGGATATATTAACAAAACCTGAATATGATATTAATAACTAGGAATCTGCTGTTATGTCTGGAAGCTCTTGAGACGCAACTTCATTAAGGACTTGGCTCAGTTTAATTTGATCCCGTTTTGATTCGGCAGTGGAAACGACGTGCGACTGCATGCCTTTGCTGATGTCGACCCCAGCAGGATTTGAGCTGTGGACCTTCTGCATGGAAGACGAGTGCTCTAGCCACTACACTAGGGAAGCCCCATGATATCAACCACTATGTTTTCATTAAAGTATAATCACCTGAAAAGAATTGTTGCATTTTTGTTAACTTAGATTGGGCTGCAGCACCCTACTCTGCCCCTGATTGGCTTACTCTGACATTCTCACCCTTAACCTTCAGCAATCTCACAAACAAATAAGTACTAGCTGATCAGAGGGAGAGTAAGAAGGGTCACGCCTTCCTTGTCTTAGTAAATGCTGAGTCTGGAGCAGGTCCTCTTCTGGCAAGAGAGTTCCCCATGTTGTTTCTACAGTAGCCCAGTAGGACAAACCAAACATTAGCTCTAGAAAGGGTCATTTGCATTTTCTCATCAGCCAATATGCGTCTAAATGCTTGGCACAGGAGAGAAGTTTCAGTTGCTGCTAGATGCCACTAAATCCCACAAGTTAAACCTTATTAATTGTTGTGCGTCATATCGGCTGCATGTCTTTGAAGTCAAAAATTTAATTTAACAGAAGCGTATTTGAGAGTTAAGAAAATGAAACAATGACGCACTTGACTTTTGTGTCATTTCAGGAATTTCATTCAACATCTCATGTGTGGTCATGTGCTTTGTTTGTTCATGAGGGTGAATTAACATATACTCTCTGCATGCATGAACATGTGTCAATGTATGCATGTATCTGTTTACAGTATGTGCGCGTACTGGTGTGTGCTCTGGTGTGGTGTGTCCTCTATCGTTCCAGTTCCCGCCCTGCAGGGTTACCTCGTGTCAGACACGTGAGTCGGTAGAGATAGGAAGGAAGGAGGCGGTTTGCTGAAACAGGGGTAGCCTGCTCTCTCCCAGGAACTCTCCGACAGGTCAAGAATGCATTCTTTTCATCTGCATGGAGGAGGGGTGGGGGTGTGAAGGGGGATGGGCTGCATGAGCCAATCAGAGGGCTGCCTGAGCCACACATTACAACTGAACTATTAAACCAGCCCCCAATGTGGAGTCCTCACAGGCATGCTTCATGGCTTTGGAAAAGTCTAATTAGTGTAGTTTCCAGGGCCAGACATGGCTGCTTTAAGCCTCTTTACCACTGCTACCAATATGTTATGACCTAAATAAACAACACTGGAACAAACATCTGCCCTATGATTGATTTGTAAAAGAGCAACAGGGCTGTGCTAGAAACTGACCCTAAATAAGGACAGTCGTACTCAACTCTTCACCCATGGAAGGAAAAGGACATGCTGTTTGTGTGGCCACTGGGTGACCATCTTGAGTAACAGATCCTCTTATATAATGATGTCAAATAATTGTTAGATTCCAACCTTCATTAGCATCATAAATAGCAATCATTTTGTCTGTACAGTGAGTGCATGTAGACATTGTGTTATCTTTAGCAATGTACAGCATTGCATTCAAACGGAGTGATGCACTGTCTGTAACCATAAAGAGGTAAAAATAGTTTGATATGTACTTTGCGGCTTCATAGGAGGAGTATATGTTTGCCTTGATCGTAAAAAATAAATGTAGCCAAATGGACGTGAGGACATCTAAAGTGTAAAGAGACAGACAGTAACCAGAGGGGCAAAATAATGCAAACAATGAACTCCAGTTAAAGATTACCTTAAGGCAGATATGATCTAAAGGAGGAGGAGGAGGAGGTGATGTGGAGGTGCTGCCTGAGCCCACAGAGCCACTCACAGGCCTCTGCATGGTGAGGCTATTATGTAATATCTTGGCTAACTGTGGTGTAATATTCCTTTTTAAGTACCCATGTGGGCTTGAGGTCATGCGGTGAGATATGAGCTGTTGATCTAGCACATGGTTCTACCGCACACAAACAAAAGTGCACATACTCTGTGAACCAGCACGCTCACTGAGAACTGACTGTAAGGTACACAAGAAGGACATAAACAGAGACACACACTCTCTCGGGAATATAAGCACATCAGCACGGAATGAGCGTGTCATTTGATCACAGTGTTTATGAGGACACAGCGTAGAGAGGACCCTCTGACTGTTCAGGTGGTCCCTTTCTCTGTCTTCAAACAGGCCTTTATGTCAATGTCTTGATGAAATTGCTGTCTCAGTCAGAAGTCAGTGCACTTCTCGAACCAATCTCCTCTCAATATTAAATCATTTCCATTAGAATTTCCTTTGAAATGCTTCCACTTTTTTCTATAGAGCTTTTTTTTTTTAGCTCAGTCAGCTCAGTGTTTTCCACCATACACTCCTATTCTACATGGGCATCCCGGGTCTACTCCCCTGCTGCTGGTCATTTCTAGTCTTGGCATTTTAGAAGTTGTTTTCTTTCTGCTTTTAGTAGAAACACAGCTACCGACCATTGATGCAATCTTCCTAGAGATGTACTCTTAAAAAAACTAATTTTAATATTTAATTCTAGTTATTGATTAAAACAATTAAAGGAGAACTGTGCTCAATTTGAAAATTCATAATTTCATTCATAATGATCCTTCCTCAGGTTCACCTACGGAAACCTTCTTACGACTTTTACTTCCTCTAGATATTAAAGTTTGATCGCCTTCTCTGCGTAGTTTTTGTCTTCTAAGACAGTCCGAAAATAATAGTAAACATGGACAGCTCTCCCAATGGAAAAAGTAGGCTAAAACTCAAATTTGTGATGTCATCAAGTATAAATGTGGAGCTGTTCCATTGGTAATTGTGGTAATTGTGTTCTAGATGACACTGAGAGCACCCAGGGGAACGATCTGAGTATACAGTATGGGTACATTTCCTGTTTTCCTGTACATTTCCATGTCCAATACAAAGCTCATTTGGCATAAAATAGAAAACAAACATTCTGTGTCCACAAAATCAGTCTCCCATTTATTGTCTATGGAGCTACTCCAGACTTTATACCCTATGACATCACAAGTGTGAGGACTTCCCTCTCTTGTTTCTGGCTTTAAGAGAGTAACTCATGTTCACAAATATTCCTAGGCTGGAAATAACATATCAGAATTCTTAATGCAGGTGATGTTCCCCTTTAACCCCTACTGACACAAAACTGTTAAACATACAGTACATATTATTTTAGTTACCCAGGACCAGCTGTCGCTGAGGCTGTCATCCCCACTGTGGCTGCTGAAGTCTTGCTCTTCCTCGAGGGTCATGGCTCCATGTCTTGACAGACGCAGAGTGCGATCTGAGGTTCCTGTTCTCTTAATACTGGTTAAATCTCTTCAAGTTGGTAAATGCTCTTCTGGTTAGCTCTGGACGAGTCCTTGACTCTTAACTTGAGTAGCTGGTACTTTTGCGACATGCAGTGTGTGTTTTAGACTAAATTTATCAACAAGCGTGTTCTTGGAATGGAGTACTCGGAGGAAATCTGAGAGGGTCCAGTGCTGCTGGACTCTACGTCTGGTCTATGTGCCCATCTGACGCCACTGTATCCACATACACAAAGTCCAGCAAACAATCATAGATTGCGGATTTGTGCCATTGGTAACGTATGAAAGTAACATTATACAGTAAATAACGCATCAATTTTTTTTTTCTTTTACATACAGTACTTAAATACTATATTTGCATGTACTCTGTAGCCTGTCTGTCAGTCAGAAATAATTATGAGCAACTCCAGTAAGACTGGTCATGACAGTCATAAAATATTACTTGGAGCACACATCAACTTTGTTTATGCCCTGTTTTTGAGTTTTAAGTTACAGTTAAAATTAAAGTCCAGACTGAGGGACAAACAAACACACACACACAAGAAATTCAAAATGTCTGTACATTTATACAATTAAAGGCATACAAAACTGTACATTGCAAAATGCTTCCAACACACAGTGGATCTGTGTTACTTCAGCAGTTACAAATAAAGTCATCGTACAGGCTACAGAGCATAAAGCATAGCAAATGCTGAACATCCAAACACAACACTGTTACTTGTACACACAGTGGATAAGTACTTTTTTTTTTTTTTTACAAAATGCAAATCTGACAAAAATATATTCAAAATACAGAATTTCAATATGTAAAAAGAGACATGCAAAACAAACTTCTACAAAAATCACCCAATTAAAACGTCTGTTGCCAAAAATCGGCTACCATTGCACACAAATGATTGTGTCGACCATTTTTTAAAAGCTTCTCATATTCACAAGGTGGTGTGCAGGGCACTGTGAGATTGCAACACAAACGTGAACACAGCTGAAACTGCAAACACAAATAAAATACAAAAGCAGTTTATCATTTCCAGTTTTGTTTACATCCCCTCCTTCAAAAATACAATCAAGATTTTGTGTTTTGATCAGGACTTTTTTTTTTACAATTTTACTATTTATCACTACATTTCTCTACAATGTGCAATCAAAACAAAATAAATTCAAGAAAACCAATTATAGTGGATCAAAAAGATGACTCTTCTAAGGTTACTGTGAAAGTGATTTATGAAGTGGTACATTAACCACAATAATGGTAAACAATCTTTTGCTAACTCAGATAAACCACGACTCAATAAAGTCCACATAACAAAAAAAAAAAATTGCAAAATTATTTCCTTGTTTCCTTGGCCATGTCACGTCATGTTAGTGCGTAGTGTCATGCTACAAAAACACTATATTTTTTTCTCTTTGGCAATTTAAGTGATTTCAGTCCTGACTGTGACTCGTTGCAGCTCACTGTATCCGTGTGTTTCAGTCAAATATGTTTCCCCGTCAGGAAGAAGAGCGGTCGGTCCTCCTTGGCGTTGGCAGTCTGGAACTCATCGCTGAGCCTGAACCTCCACTCCTCCTCCAGCTCCAGCCTGCCCACCGTCTGCCTCAAGGAGCTACGGTCTGCACTGATGACACACAGAGTCGCACCTGGAGGGAAGTACACAGAAGGGAGGGACATAGTGACTTAAACATCAAATAATTTTCTGACTTAATTTAATAGACAATGGGGGTCGTTGGCTGGAACTGATCCGATGACACTGCAGTTATATGGTAATGCCTCTCAGCCACTTTTCCACAGGGGCTTCGATATGTGTTTTTGTGACTTAAACGTTGCATGTAGCTCTTTTAGAAATTCAGAATGAGATTCAAGAATTATAGCTTGCTCTTTACAATACATTATTGCATATGCACCATCTGTAAGGGCCCTGACACATCGAGTCAAGTCAATATTGGGCTGTAGGAGAGCATCCGTTACCCAAGTCTTGGTGGTGTCCCACAGCTATGACCCTTGTTGGCTTTATTTTAGCTGATTCAACATGTTGAATTTGTGTTATTGTTCACTGGCTGTCTGCTGGTGTGGAGAGTTATTTCCTTTCCCGCAGTCGCAGAACCTACATGCTGGTTGGCTGTCAGCAATGGTCTTTGTGGTGTGTTCATGTGCAACTTTTTGGCCTAGACATAGGCAACCTAACCTGACAGTTGGCTTTCATTGCTGCTAGTTCTTTAAAGTCAGTTTGGTGTGTCTGGGCCTTAACACACATACCAGTATATGTTTTCATTGTCTTTATTTGGTCTGCGTTTGTACCTTTGAGAAAGGTGAACTTCTTGAGGAACCCAGGAGTCACAAAGGAGTCTGCGAAACAGAGAAGAAGGCCGCTGAACAGCAGCCCTGTGGTGCTGATGTTGACTGAGTGAGGTCTGGAACTCACGAAACACACCGTCACCTGCAGGAAGCAAGAAGAGGGTGACTACTGGAATGTATGGGTATAAGAACCTTTACATCTGTTCAGAGGTTAATCATTTATCATGAACAAACAGACAATAATTCTTAGTGTGTGTGTGTACCTCAGGTCCCAGATTAAGATAACAGTCCACAGAAAGTACAGGGTGTGTGTAGTTCTTGGTGCTGAGGGGAAACAGCTTCTGGCTGGTGTGTTGAAGGTATTTTTCCAGGAGGAGCTGAGCTGGTGTCGCCAAGAAAAGGTGCTTGCTGTCCGGGGCACAGATGTACTGCGAGGGCCCCACTGAGGTGGGAACATCTGTCATCTGGAGACATTTCAAACTTTTGTTTAATAACCTTCGTTGCCATTACGTTTTGTGACTAAAATATCTTTCATTAACTGATAAATACTTACACAAATTCATATTTAGATTGATTAGTTGCCAATGTATCAGTTTCAAAACAAAGTAAAGCCTATAGTCAAATTCAATATTTTTATAGATTTCTTTTTGTTCCTGTGTAGCTGCAAATGTGGCATTCATAAAGTAATAATCATCAAGTATTCTACAAATCTGTGTCTTTATTCTGCTCCTTGAGAGATATGTGGTCATGTTGTTGTGTGTTTTCAGCATTTACCTTTGTCTTGATAATAAACGTCCTGTATCCTCCTATGGCGATCTGCTTCTTCATGACACTGAAGCTGTTAAAGCGGCACACGAGCAACCCGGCACTGTGTAGCCTCAGGGTGAAGTCCACATCGTGACAGGTGAAGCGGTTTTGGTCGTATTGGACATTCTGGCTCCGGTCGACATTGAGGAGGAGAAAGTCATGAAGCTGACCTCTGGAGAAGGGCTCGCTCTGTTTATGACCTGGATGAATCAAAATAAATGCATGTTGGTGCACAACAGACTCCTCATTAGAGTCTGGCTCTGACTGAGGTTAAAACATATCCCTCCTACGTTCCTTCTAATGTTAGTATTAGCCATCTTAATGAGCGCTGCTCTTTTACCAAAAGAATTTTCATTCAGAATTTTCTGCATGAGGGAGAAAGAGTGGACCTGCTTCCAGACCCTTTATCCTTTTAAAATAAAACCTTTTCATATGGGAAACCATGTTTTAAAATATTAATCATAAGAGAGTATTTCACATGAAAACATATCTGGAGGGGGACCTGAAAGACCTGAGATATAGCCAGACATATAGTAATTATGCTTTAAAATGATATTTGTAAAATCTTTAAGGTAAACAAGCTTACACTGAAAAGATGGGATCGTAACAATTTGTATCCACAGTCGAGACATGAGGCATCTACAGAAAGCACAATCTGCCCTGAATGTTTCATAGCAACTTACACACACATACACATAGGAGTGGCTCATTATTTTGAAGTATCCTCTGCAGTCCAATACAACAGCCTTACAATACTTACTGTACTATGTTTGTAGAGCTTATACTGTTCCATTGTGTGTGTCATTACACTGTATTGCAATATTTTGAGATTGTAGTTTGTTAAAATAAGTCAAGTTAAGTCAATTTGATTAATATTTACAAAGACTGAAAATACAGTCTGACTATGATTCTTGACTTTTTCAGGTTGCTGACATCACAACCCCTAACCTGCAAATCCACGGCTGCTCCACTTCCTGATCCCGCACAGTCCAAAGTGGGCCAGGTCTGGACAGGCCTCCATGTGCTGTAAGATCTGCTTCAGTGACACAGTGTGCTCTGCTGGACCACTAACCACAGCAGAAAGGAAACAGAAACTATATCAAAACCTACTCATAAAATTAATTAGCAAATCCTTACTTCTAATAAAGGCGACAGTCATTTCATCCAACACAGTTTTTCATATAAATATTGTTTGTATGTACTTGCGTGCGTCGAGGTCCACTGTGTTCCACATAACACATGAGTCATCTGCCAGGATGATGAAGGGCCATACATCGCCTGCCGGACCCCCTCCCTCCAAACGCCGACTGCGCTCCAGCTCCAAGTTGTGATACGACAGCTCTTTAATCAGGAAGTGAGCAGCACCTGGAGAAGAACGGGAAGAGGTTATAAAGGTGGCATAAAGACAGTATGAAGACAATTGATACCGACTTTTCAGTACTGTATGAGTCAGTGTAACTGCTAAGCATGCCTGTAATAAAAACCTATGAAATAAAATTTCTAATAAAATTTACTAAAAAATTTTTATTCCCAGATAATATCAAGCAACTTCGGGTAGAATTATTATCTGTTTCTACCAAATTATTTGTGCTTTCCTGATTAACGTATTCAGATCCTGGTGCATCCCTAGTCCCTACATAGGGCTCTAACAGCAGTTATAGTAAAATACCTATTCCAGCTCCGTTGAAGACAGTGGGCAGCACAAGCATGATGTGATTGGGCCAGTACTTCTTATACACAGCCATCTCATACTCTTTGACCACCAGGATATGCAGATGTGAGGCTCCATCCATAGCGTGGTACAGGTTAAACAGACCATGCTCATGACGACCGGTGGTTGGGGTGAAGATTGGACTCTTAATACAGTCTGGGCTCTGGGGAAGGTGAAATGAATAATGAAAACATTTAAGTAGTATCAACAATGATAAAATGTGTCCAGATGT